TTCCTTAGGTGGTCGGATATAGCAACCTTGAACTTTTCTTTGTCTTCTATTGATGCAATTTCATTAGGGATTCGATTCCAGTCTCGTATAGTTCTTGGTATGAAGGAAAATCTGTAACAGTCCTTTTGGGCGGACACGTCACCTCGGAATATGTTGCTGAAATATGGTCATTCTGTTAAAAAATCTCCTTAATTGCAAGGGATCCCATTTTATTTATTTTTTCATGGCAAAGACGCTACTGAACCTGCTGTAGTCACTCATGACAAATCTCGCACTTCTGTTTTGCACAGCTTCGATATCTTGGATTAATTATTTAGTCAAGGGATCCTATAAACAAGACACATAATTCAAGTCTCGATCTAATTAATGATTTATAAGCAAGGTCTTTAATATGTCGGGAGCACGAATACAAATTGCGACGTACAAAACTCAACATTTATTCGCATTAGTGATATGTTTAATATGTATATTCCATTTTAACTTACAATTTAATATGTTAATTCCTAGGTAGGTGTGATCTTTAGTATTATTAAGCACAGTATTATCAATTAAATAATTATGTTTGTGTAATATATTTTTTGCATGAGTGATTCTCGTGACACAACATTTATTTGGGTTAACTTCCATCCGGTTTGTCCTCCCCATGCAGTAAACATATCAAGGTCCTTTTGCAAAATCACCAGCATCATGAGACCCAGTTATGACCCTATAGATGATACAATCGTCTACAAAGAGTCGAATATGTGATGTAATATTATTTGGTAGATCATTAATGTAGATCACAAAGCCCATGGGGCCAGTGACTTTCCCCTGGATGTGTTGGATGAATTGGAGGTGTTTTTGCATTTAACGGAGTTTTGAAGATGTTGAAATATGTGTGATGAATTGTCCCAAACTAAGTGCTCCTTAGCCCGTGTTGGTATCGCCAATATACACGGAGTTATGAAAAACCCTCCATGTGTTGTTAATTTTGAATGTCCGATCTATTTTAGAGGGCGTAGAAGTCCAAGCCGGTATATTTTCTTTTATGACAGACTAAGGTTATTAATGAGTATGAGTTATCTAGAAGGATGTCTAGGAAGGGTAGCTTATTATTATACTCCTTTTCCATAGTGAATCTCATTGATGGGTGTTGTGAATTTAAAAAATCGAAAAAAATATCGGTATCGTGTTCAGAATTAAATAAGCGTCTAATTCCGATATTTTGATTATATGCATTACTTCCATTGACATAGGAGAGTATCATACCGTATTTTAAGTCAACGATTCGTAAAGGACATAGTCTGTCCCTCTTTGTACATTCTGTGCTATTTTTCTAAGCGAACCTTGGATAGGCTACACGAAAATACTTTTATAATGAGCGATTACAAACGACGTGCACTCAATAATTTCCTTTAATGGTCACCTTGACCAGTCGTCTCATTTTCAGTAACCACGGTAATAATGTAAAAGTTATTTTTCAAAATTTAGAGGACTTCCCAACTTCTAAATGTGTTCCTAGTATTTTTGTTTTTATAAGCCTCAAGCTTGCAGTACGTCTGTAAATATATTTCTGTCTGAGTGAGATGTCTTCAATATCCTAGGTAGCTATGAAAGGCCTAATTATCATTATCAGTATTATTACCGGTATTATTACTACTGTATATCATTACAGCATTATTAATATGATCATTTTTATTTTTATTGTTATTATTATCATAATCATTATATTATTATTTATAATAATAACAATAATAATAATAATAATTATTATTATTATTAACTTTTTTGCTTGGTCTTTTAATTAATTATTCACCTGTTTTGCATTTGTATGTATTTTTTTCTGAATTTTTTTATATTTGCAATATCTTGCTTATGATGTTCCTCTTCGCAATATTTTTTTGTAATTTTTTTAAATATTTATATGTATTGTATTTAAGACATCCTGTAATTAGCTTATTGCTGTTGGATGATGTTCGGAATAAAATAAAAATAAATAAATAAATAATAATAATGTAAGGCCTATCATTGAAGGTCACCGTGGGCTTTTGTATGCTATCCTTTGCGTGTTTCACACGTCAGAGAACCAACCAACCGGTTGACATTGTGTTAAAATCAGTGCTGGTTATTCTACAGGATTCGGATCATTAGAAAATTAATGAACTTGAATCAATTCCGACAGATGATTAAATTAGAAATCTACAAGACAAAAGTGACATACTGACTTCTAGACACTCACTAAAGTCATCATAAATTGCGATCCTTGTAAATTAATAATGCAGCAATTAAAGAAAACATAAATCATCTAATCATTTGGTTGGCATTACAGGTAAGTTTCGTGATGGATATATACCAAGAGACACCTAATATTGATGTTGTTAACTTGTTTGGACTTTCTTTACGTAGGCCTAATGATATCATTAATTATATTTGTCCATATTTTACACAAAGACGTTCGCTAGTAGGCCTATTATCTTTTTAAATATAATCCAATGGATGTTTTTTTTTCTTTTTGCCAAATGTTGGCTTAGTATAGTGATATTCTCATAGAGTGTTTACGCTCAAAAACAAGAAAGAAGACAATGAATTTACAATTCAAATACAAATCACTATAAAAACCTACTGAAATACAAACACGAATTAAAATACAATTTGATAACGATAACATTCTTTATTCAGTTAAAACTGAAAGGCAAAATAATATCTGAATTATTCAGAATTTTGAAATGACAAACACTGTAATAAAAAAAACAAACATTGGCGAGCCTTACGTCTATTTTACACCACTATGTATTACCATATGAAATATCATGGAAGCATCGAGCTCTGTCGTGTCTTAAATTACCAACGTAATGTGCAGAAACTTCCGATGTTAATAATAGGGGCCTATCTCAAAAGTTTTTGGTTGTTGAAGTCAATAACATCTTCGTCATTTGTGCTTGAATATTATAGGAAAAAGAGTTCCTATTACACAACATTATACCATTAGTTACTTAGTCAATCCGTTCTTATTTCAAGCCGCTGGGCAAATTTATAGTGTATCTGTGAAATATAAAAACACAGTTTAAAATTAACTGTGAAAGCATGGCATACTGTAATTCAATTCAAATTCGAGTGAGTCAGAAATGAAACAGCGCCCCTTATTGTTATTAAATCAGTGCTTTAAAAAAAAATACTCCTGTTGAATCATTAATTTGCTTCGGGAGTACCTTCAGGATTTTCCCCACGGGAGGAGGGGGAGGGGAAGGAACTAGCCGATGTCCCCAGCGGGGGCCGATGCTTATGACCAGAAAAATGTAGGAGTGGTAGGGAGTCGCTTGAAGGTCATCTAGAGGGCAGAGCACCCGAAAAAAATGACAATTTAGGGAATTCTAATGCTTATGTAATCGACTTTAGAATCTACTATGTGAAATATTCTTATGTATTTTTTTTCTCCCCGACGATGTATGGATCTGTCTCTTATACACATCTAGATGTGTATAAGAGACAGCCCCACTGGCGCCACCCCTGATTTGATTCTTGAAAAAAACAAACGTTTTCAAAAAATATTTTTTGTGCACTGTGTTAAACATTAGTTTAATACAAATGAGATGTTATTAGTCATTCAACCAATTTTGCATTTCATTATCATACCTTTTCAAGTGAATTCAAAAATTCATGGAAAGTTGTTTCGAATGTTTTTTCCGCTTCATCAAAATCCTTTAGTAAAGTTATATCCATAATATTTCCATTGGAGGCGTCTCTCCTTTTTCTTCTCCAGCCCTGTGGTTGAAAAGGGCCATCATAAGGCGGCCCTTGTGCAGCAGCGTACAATGCAAAATCCTGATTTCTTTTTAACGCCCTGTGACTCGTGGCTCCAATTTCATCTACTAAGTCTACCAATCGCCCAACGCTACGTATCACCTCCATCCCTCTAGTATGTATATCTGTAGCACCCATTGATTCATCTTGTCTAGTGTTTTCAATGTTTGTATCAGCCTTATTAAATATGCAACATAGTACCAAAATCAATGCAATTATGATGTATACATTCTTTACATGTATGTTTTTAGCCATAGTACCTGTAACACAAATGCGGTTCAAACATGTTATATAACGGCAGAACAGTTAGCTTTTTAGGGTAGGTTGATATAATTATTAGAATTATCCGAGCTAAACCCTAGGATACTAATAAGACACTAATAAAATACTGCAAATGACAATCAGAGCTGGAAACATTGGGCAGTTTAAGAATTATGGGCATAATAGAAGAAATAAATTTAGGCAAAAGAACATAAAAAGGAGAGAAGATAATATATAGGAACGTAGTTACAGACTGGACACAATATTCACATAAAAGAAACAAAGGGAGACCAAACACACAGTTACGTGATGAGAGAATAAGAGTTCACTGGCACCTGAAGCAGAGGAGTTGCAAAGCACACCCCGGAAAGGAAATCGATGGAGAGGCCTACACCAGCGGAGGGTGGAGGCTGTCTCTTATACACATCTAGATGTGTATAAGAGACAGGTATTCCCCCGCCCCAATTTTCCCCCAAATAGAAGAAAAACTAACGGGGGAAAAATGTTATGTATTTTCTACATATTAGTAGACTATCTACATTATAAATCTACGATTAAATAAGCCTCTAGAACCCCTGAACTTTCATTATTTTCGGGGGCTTCTCCCCTTGGACCAACTTCGAGGCATTTTGAACGACGCCCGACCACGCTCATCTAGGGCCACCCCATTATATTTCCACCCTAAAATTCTGCCTTGCCCCTCCACTGAACAAGTAACAAGTATTGATGAACTCAGTTCATGAGCTGAGAGTGTTATGTGATTGTTAACAAAATTCAATTTTTGATCATAATTTGACTTTTCCGAAGTGTCACTCGAACTTAACTAACTAAAGAAGAACATGTTATTAAAAAAGGTAGAGACCAGAAATACGTGCATGTCGCACAAAAACTCAAATATAAAATGTTTGCATCGTACTTTTCGTTGTCATTTCGTGGATCGCCTTAGCAACAATATCCAAGGAACGGGGCTTATCGGAACTGTAGACTGGAGTATACGTATACTAATTAAGTAGTTATTTGTTTTTTAAAGATTTTCAATTAGTTTTATATCCAAAATTGTAGGCAGAAAAGAAGAAGGATGTAAAGTTTATGATTGGTACGGTAATAATTAAACATTCGTTAATTAACACGAACATTTTTTTTTTTAATTTTCAGTTTAAAACGTATTATACCGCGAACAATAGGCCTATATTTTAGTTATTATTTTCCTTAATTGGAAGTACCAGGTAGTAACTGTGCAGTGTATTTTTAATATTAGTTGGGGTGGTTGGCGCAGGGGTTGGATTCTCCATGGCACATACAGTAGAGGATTCAATACTTTTATCTGGAATAACAGATTGAATGAAATAAAATAATAAGTGCTTAATGGAATATAAAAAAAAAGTGTTGATTAAATTTCATCGCAATAAAATACATGAATTACAATGAAATCAGTGTTAACAGTTTACCGGAAAAAAGAGGTAGATAAATAGAAATAATGAAGTTAATGAAACTCGATTGATTTAAATGACTAAAGATAAATAGCTAAATTGATGAAAAAAAAAACAAATGAGGATATAAATTAATCACTGCTTTCAAAATATGATCGACTAATGTAAGCTTACCTTTGAATAACCCAGTAAGATAATTAGCTTTTGGAACGCCTGTAATGATCGAAATTGATGGTCAAGCTGTACTCTCTACAGTGTAACTTTTTGGTCATTGATGACCTTTTATAAAGGCCCTGTGTGGAAGACCAAAGGAAGTGGTTTACTTTCGTGTTTGCGCACCTCAAATAACTACTTCCTCAAATACATATTGCATACTTTTACTAGATTCATTAGCGGTTTAATTAAAGTAATTTACATATTTGTTTTAATATTTGCTGGTTTGGGTAGAAGACACCATGAGTGTCAGACACGTCAATGGTTTGACCAAGTCACGACACGTACACATTTTGCATACGTAAGCGCTAGAGTAGATAAATAGCTTATCGGTGTATATGTTTGCTTAGTTTTCTGATATTTAGAAAATCAAGAGTTTTAGTGGCCACCACGATAATACAACCTCTCGATAGCGCGTTGACAATTAACTGGGCATTTATAATTACCACAAAACCGGATGTAAACGATATCTATAAGACATCTATAATATTCGTAATGTATGTGGTGTAACTTACTTTCGTTCATTGACCTTCTACATCGAATTTCATCTTGTTATATTGTTGGAGGGTTTTTTGTTCAGTAAAGCAAGGGGTTATAGTTCAATTATTGAACTAAAACGATTAACATTGAAATGATTTAAAATGTAAAATAAGAATATTTGGTGTGGTTTTTGCGTATGTATATTGGTTTAGTAAAATGTAATACAAAACCATATTAACCAAAATGATTAACCTACATGTTAGTTAAGAAACAGTTTGACATAAGTTTTGTACACAATTGTGGTAGTCATCATAATTTAATATTAGGATAATTTAAAGCATTACTAATCTTATAACAACAAAAATACCGTAGCCCTCACCAATTATTTAAGTTTAATTATATTTTTATTATATAATACTGTACCATTAGCCCTCCTCACCCCCACCCAAACAATTGTTGTGTTTACCTTAAATGGAAAAAAAAATCAAGATCGTCGGTGGTATGATTTTTCCTGAAATAGGATAGGCCTCACACTGCAGTCTAAACTCAAGGCTGGACTATACGAAGATCAACGTCCTAACCTCCCAGGCACGCCACTAGAACGGTGGCAATAGCCAAACAACAAATATTACTCAAAGTAATGTCAGAATATGTACTAGCCAAGTGTATATTGAAATAAATTCAAATAAAAACAAAAATAAATCAATTAAAGGAAGATTTATTTGGCTTCGAAACGTAAAATTATTTGTGTATCTGATCCACACGATCAATAAGAAAATATTTCGTTCATGGTTGGGCTAAGCGCAGCCTAAAATGTCTAGCTATGTACCGGCTTTCAAGTGATGGCTAGGCCTAAGCCTGTTTTTATTTATTGTCCAATACATATGTAATGAATATGATTTCGGTTCCGGCAAAAAAATATTGATAATTATAAAATGGTGAACTCAATTTGAAATATTATATACAATATAGCCATGTATGGATTGCGGGAAAAATACTAGCAATGAATTCATTAGAATTCATGGAAAGTAGAAAAGAGCAGCACAGAAATAGTAAAGAACATTTTTACTTATAACACAATTATGGCCAAGATATATCAACAATTTGTTGCTATATTATATCAATTGAAGAAAAAACTTCATGTAATGAAATAGAAGTGGTATCTGAATGGCATGAATATAATACAAACCAGTGGCGGACCGTAGGGTAAATTGCAGGGTATGCTAGGTATTGGCATATCTAGGATGTTCCCCCACCCCCTGAAAAAAAAATACTCGCCTATCCCCCAACAAATTTATTTAAACTTTAATCATTGAGATTAAGAATGTCGATAGAATACCCGATCGGCAGTATAGGTATCGATGAAAGAGCATGCGCACATACACTTGGAAGCACTGCTTCCATTCCAGTGTTAAATTGGCTATTCTGACGCCATCACACGGTTGTCACAATAGCAAATTTAAGCGTTGTTGGGTATGCTCTGACGCCGACTGACTCATGAATACGTGATTGGCCGAGATTGAAAACCAGCCATGCGGAACTTTTAAGTAGCTGAGAGTATCATGCGATCCAGCGTGAGGCCCGACTGTGGCTTAACCTAGATACCAAAGTAGGCCAAACATTGAAAAACTTTGCTATTCCAATGAACTTAGCAATCCACTCGAAAAATTAAGGTTTCCATAGAAGATTCTGACTAAGATATGCTAAATAAAATGGAGAAACTGTACTACTATATTTTTTTACTTGTTTTAGCCAGGGTATGCACTGCATACCTTGCTTGCCTTGACGGTCCGCCACTGATACAAACACAGATTCACTGAACATCGTACCACCAAAAGTAAATACTTACGCTATCTTGTTTTCAACGCTATACAAAATAGGCTATATGTTCAATAGATAAATAAATAACTGTGAGACTGCTTATCCATACTCCTCCCAACAACAGCATCCACAAATTGCATTAAAAAAAAATCCAATGTTGAATGTAAATTCAAGCTACCTGAATAAATTGTTATTAAAATTTTTAAAAAAATCTAAAATCTGCAAATTTCTTTTATAAAGGGCATATATACGTGCATACTAAGAAGAAATCTGTAAAATGTTCCAATAGTTTTGATTCCTGGAAAATCAATTTATTCTCACAGAGTAATGAAAATGATATTTTGATAGTATAATAATGTGGAATAGGTTACCAGAAGACGTTACTCAAAATCTTAATGTACTACTTTGTTTTAGAGCTTCCTCAGTAATGCGAGTGAATGCGCGTACTTCAAACGCCACGAGTTTATGGTGAGAGTTGGTGAGTCTTGTTTCTCAATGCACAGGGTGTTCATTACAAAAAAATGCATCGATATTTGCCTATAACTATGATATGCCAAAATTATTTCATTTTTAATGTTACAACACAGTATTACCTCAAAGACAAGGGCTCGCAGTATCTGGGGACTGAGATGAGCACATGTTTGCTTACGAAACTTATACAGTTGCTTGGTTTTGAGCTACTTAATTAGCATATCCATGCTAAATTTTGATGGCTAGAAACATCTGTGAAATCGATTCATGTTTTCCAAATTTTGATAGAATTCGATATTGTAATTAATGGAAATGGTATTTGAATGATATGGATATAATACAGATACAGATTAATTAAAAATCATACCATCAAAAGTAAAAGATTCCCCACCCTGTGTTTTAATTATTTGCAGAATATGTTACTTATAAACATAAATATTGGTGACGACACTAGGCCTAAGTTTGTTGTAATAAGATTTAATGATGCTTTCAATTATCTAATATTCTATGACAATTATAAAACTACCACAATTTAAAACAAAGTTTATGTTAAACTGTTAAACTAACATATAACTTAAAAACAAGTTGTTTTTATTGTTCAGTAATACCCCCCCCCCACCACTAAATATTCATATTTTACATTGTAAATAATCTTAATGTTTATGGCGTTTTAGTTCACGATTTTAACAACTGACCCATAACTTAGACCTATTGCCTTGTTTAGAAAATTTACTGAACAAACATTTTCTCCAATAATATAAAGTGAAATTCGATGTGTAAGGTCAACGAAATAAAGTAATTTACACCACATACACTATAATACATATCTTATAGGTATGGTTTACTTCCGTTTTTTTTTTTGGTAATTATAAATGCCAAGTTAATAATCAACGCGCTTTGGAGAGCTTGTATTATCGTGGTGGCAACTAAAATTCTTGATTTTCTAAATAATGAGATAACTATAGCAAACATACAAAAGCTATTTGTCTAATCTAGCGCTTACGTATGTAAATGTGTACGTGTCGGAACTCGGTAAAATTATTGACGTGTTTGCCACTCATGGTCTCTTACCATCAACTATTGAAGCATTATGTTAATTACTTTAATTAAAACGCTAATGAATCTAGTAAAAGTATGCGATATGCATTTGAGGAAGTTGTTATTTGGGGAGCGCTAACACTAAAGTGAAAACCACTTCCGTTGGTCTACCACACAGGGCCTTTAAAAATGTCATCAGTGATAGCTTAAGCAAAAGTTACGCTGGAGAGAGTTCAGTCTGACCATCAATTCCGACCATTACAGTCGTGCCGAAAGCTAGTTATCTTACTGGGTTATTCAAAGGTAAGCTTACGTTAGTCTACCATATTTCGAAAGCGGTGATTAATTTATATCCTCGTTTTTTTCTTTATCATTAGTCATTTATATTTAGTAATTTAAATCAGTCGCTTTCCATTAAATACATTAAATACCTATTGCCTTTGGTAAACTCTTAACATTCGGGATAACTTGATTTCATTGTAATTCATTTCGGACTAAGTAGGTTATGTATTATAATTAATTGTGATAAAATTTAATCAACATTTTGTCTATGTTCTATTATGTGAAGCACTTATTATTTTTATTTCATGCAATGTGTTGAACCACAACCAACAACCCTAACTAATATTAAACTGTTTTGTTCTACCTATAATAAAACGAAATTAATAATCAATATAAATTGTTAGAGGTATAATACGTTTTAAATTGATAATTAAAAGAAACACATTTTGTTGTTAATAAACAAATACTTAATTATTGCCATTCCTAGCCTTTAGACATACCGCTATTATAATTTTAGACATAGCCTTATAATAAATGTTGACTTACCCTTACTATTACTTGTGAATGTAAGCAAAGAGCATAGAATGGCAAAAAGTCCGAAACGGAATCCTCTCTCGAAAAGACTTACCACGAACTAGAGGGCGTCCTTCAAAAGAACCTAAAATCCGTTCGTATCGAACGCGTGCCTAGTAATTATACCCCTTTTACACTGCTAAGATGAGATGATATGAGGTGTTAATTCTGGAATGATACCGCATGCATTTCCATTTACATCAAATGAAAAAAATCCGGGTTGATCCCGAGTTGCACCTATCTAATTTAAACCGGGAACGAACGCCGGTTAAAATATCTTCCTCAATTTTTGTTGCGATAGTGGTCATCACTTCGCTCGATTTCGTCGCAGTGATGAAGCTGCAATATTGTCAATATTGAAGCAATGTATCCGCAATTTATTATTTTTTTAATTATGCGAATTAAATCAGCAGTTTCTTTATCAAGTCTATACGGAAGCGCAGGAGGTTTAATTTGAAAGGTCTTGGCCTAGCCCATTGCAGACCTGTCAACCCGTACGCATTCGCCGTATTAAGTCTCGCATTCCAATCAAATCTTACGGTCTTACGCAAACACCGGCAAAACTTACGCTTATCCTAACATTTGAGTAAATTGTGTTTCTTTTTTCAATTTGTAATGAATTTAACTATAACTAACATCCATCATCATGACATTCTACCTCCATGATTATGCGGTCCACTGAGCTAGGACTTCTCCCCATGAAATCGCCATTAATATCGACTAACTGCGCCCTTTCTAGCTATGTGTTTGGCCTTTAAATACACATTCGTTCCCTGGGATCAATACATCATATATAAAAAATATACATTAAACTGAGATTTTACAGAGAATCTAATACAAAAAAAGGTGTAACATAAGAAAGGAAGATGCCTTTCGTTATCTTAAACTATCTTTTAATAACTGCTGTATCTGAGATCATTATAAACTCACTAATATCGATTAGATATACCATTTAAGCCAAAGCGTCCAGGGGCCCTAACGGGAGCTTTTGGCGACCTCCTGGTCCCCAACCACTGTTCGTGCCCTCGGCTTATTTGTCACCTGATCTTACCCGAAATTTCTCAAGGTTGACAGGTATGCCATTGCCAGCAAAGTTTAGGCCTACCTGACCACAGCTGCGGTATGCGACGGGTGGCCTATCAAGCAGATGTATACTCTGGAATCGAATTTGGTGTTGTTTACACTGGTGACTCCGGTTGTACCAGGGTTGTCCAACACTATTCGAATTCTAATAGGGCGCCCCCTGTCTCATGGCTGTACTTTGTATTTCGTTTCATTGCGTGCATGCAAGATGAGAAGTCCAACTTCTTGCATTTTTACACTCTTTAATGAAAGGTATAACGACTTTGAGTTGCCTAAGTTGATAACCTTCATTATAAAGGCAACACATGATACTGTAAGTGCACTCTGCCAAACAGTCTCACTGGTTTGTTAATTATCGTAATGTATAATAATATGATGGTCTTTATTGCTGCCTATTCATCACTAAAACCAGTGGTCATCTTTCCAAACTGTCATGAAATCGGTTTTTGTGTGTAAAATTATGTTTTTAATATTTATAAAATGTTGAAAGATACACCTGAATAGATCCGTTTCATTTGTGTGAATAATCCTAATTTGAATAGGCCTAACGACGATATTGTAACTGCGTTAAATCATGCCGTTAACTAAATTATTTGAATTACATTTGTGTTACAGGTACTATGGCTAAAGACATATATGTAAAGAATGTATGCATCATAATTGGATTTATTGTAGTACTATGCTGCAAATCTAATAAGGCTGACACAAACAATGAAAACACTAGTCAAGATGAATCAATGGGAGATATAGATATACATACCAGAGGGATGGAGGTGATACGTAGCGTTGGGCGATTGGTAGATTTGGTAGATGAAATTGGAGCAAGAAGTCATAGGGCGTTAAAAAGAAATCAGGATTTTGCATTGTATAGTGGACAAGGGAAATCTACAGATAACCCTTTTATACTACAGGGTTGGAGAAGAAAAAGGAGAAGCACCCCAAATGGAAATATTATGGATATAACTTTTCTAAAGGATTTTGATCAAGAGGAACAAATATTCAAAACAACTTTCCAGGAATTTGTAAATTCACTTAAAGAGGTATGATAATTAATTACAAAATATAGTGTATACATGGACGTAATAATTTTCCCTGTGTATTAAACTATTGTTTTATCACAAAAGTATAAATAAAATCATCGGCCAACACTTGTAGCCTTATACAAAATTTCTAGTCGACTATTCTTAAAATATATGAAATTATTTTGGCAACTACATATCGGAATTTTCTGAATTACATTTAAAGCAATGATTTATAACAATGAGAGCTAAATAACAATAATTTGCGCTATTTCAGTTTATGCTCACTCGAATTGAAATTAATTTACAGTATGCCATGCTTTCACAAATAATGTTGAAAACTGTATTTTTGTATTAATTTCACAGATACACAATGAATTTGCCCAGCGGCTTGCCATCAGAACGGATTGACCTATAAAATAATGGTATGATTTTGCATTATCGGAACTCTTATTCCTGTAATGTTTAAAGCAAAATGACGAAAATGACTTCAACAAAAAACAAGTTTTTAGATAATTAGTGTCGTCGGAATTTTATGCACAATATTTTTGTAACTTTTAAGACACGACAGAGATTGATAATGTCATAATATCTCACATGATAATACATAGCGGTATAAAATACACGAAAGGCTCACAATCTTGTTTTTCAATGTTAACGTTTTTGAATAAATATGTAAAATGTATTGTATAATGTATGTAATGTTTTAAGGTTTTGTTTTAACTGAATAAAGAATATTGTTGTTTTCAAAATGTAATTCAATTTCTAGTTTTTAATTTGTATAATTTTTATTTTGTATTTAATAATTTTTATCAATGTGATTATTGCTAATTGTTTACCTTCTTGTGTTTAAGCATGGTCAGATAATTGAAGAATTAATTTTTTGTATTGCATAAACACTTGATGAGATTATTACTTTGCAAAACTTAGCAACACACCGATTCCTAACTAGCCCATTTAAAATTGATACTTTACATTTCAAGTACATCGCTTAATTTTGTTAAGAATTTACATCCGGTCATAATATAAAAAAAAAACCTACACAAACAATTTTCTTCAAGCGTCAGCTTGTATAATACGGAACAAACATTTTTTGGGTTAAAAGTAAAAATATTCTATTTTAATGGGTCTAAGTTTTCTCAGTAACATATTGACAAAGTTAAAGAAAAAAACTTTAAATGGTCCACCATACTCCGGATCGTCACCAACATTTAATAATTTCTTCATTGGACCATCAAAAAACTTTTATTAAGTTGTTTTCAGAGATACTTAGGTCTGGGACCTTGGCAATTTCAAAGACCCTGGAATTTACACTCGGATCTAGATCGTCACTAAGATTTGACAATTCCTTCCTTGTCACTTGGTTAAACGTACCTGAAAGTTTCATTTAGATCAGTTTATCGGATGATGACACCGCATGAGTGTCACTAACACACAAAGATTTTTGTTAGCTTTGCTTTATAACTACTTTGTATCTCCATCCCATTTACAATCAATTATGACACCACGGAGTTTAGCGCTATTAATAGGCAACGGCAGCTGACCAGAAATGCAAAGGATCTATACACCTTAACAAGCTCAACGGTGCAGTGGCCATCCCTCATGAGTGACCATAATATAAAAAGTTTTTTAGCTTTGCTGTTTAATTAGTATTTTCCTCCCATTTTAAACTACAATCAGCTATGACACCAAGGAGTTTAGCACTATTAACTATAAGCAATAGTTGATCAGAAAAAATGCAGTCTACGTCTGGAGTACTTGTTGACCAAAAAAAATATTAAAAATAATTATAATAATAAAAAAGAAAAACAACAAGGCTTAGAATGGACTATGTGTCTAACGAATTCAAAGCTTTATAAATGTTTCTGTTCTTACCAAGCATCAAACTGTTACGGTACCTAAAGTTATATCGTCTACATACTTCCAGACGTGGACCCCAACACTTACGAAATCAGCCAAAGCATTTATAGAGCATAGTAAGATTAAAGGGTAATGACCAGTGAGCGTCACCAACTCAGAAAATAACCCTTTATATTTGGTAGTTGCTAAATGCCACGACTTCAACCGAGGAAAGCGTGTCTTCTTAGGGTGACGTCATGAATAATCGTAAGCAGAAGCCTGTCATCATTTCTTTGTCTCATACTGCCCGACCCGACCAAATATAGTACTCAGCACAGTACAATGCAGTCAACAATAAAGTCATTCTTCTAAATTAGTGAGTGGCTTTTCCAAAATTGTTTACACCAAGGGCCACTTATTATATAAATCCATTTAGTTCCCGTTCTCGACTCAATCATGGTCTATTCATGTCTACTTGGTTTTTTTTTCATCATGATCATGATCATCATCACCATCATCATTTTATAACTAAATAATCTTTGCCATTGTATAATGTATGTGGAAGAAATAGATACTAAAAACCTCTGTCATCCAGGTTTTGATCTACTGATGTGCAATCTAGGAGGTTAATACCTCTTTTGGTGTAATTTCTCACATGGCAAATGATATTCAATTTCAACTAAAATTTAATTTGCATAAAATATGCCTGAAAATTATGGATGACTGTTCATAGGCCATTACTAGAATTAGGGCATATCCGTGATTATAGAATTATAACAAAAGGTTTATTCAGCACTTCCCATGTTTTACGTAGTTAGACTAGGCGAACATTGCAAGCTCTCAGGTGAAGGTGGACACGTCCCATACATACCGGTAGAGAGACCGCTGATGCTTAGTATTACATCACTAGACTAGGTCAGATCTAGCTCTCTGGGCCTCTAGCCGATTCATAGTATTGTAAATATAATGCCATAATTATCATCTTTTCTCGACAACCTGAAGGTATTTCAGGCACATGTCTTTTAAATCGGAGGCGTAGCAGCAGCAGCAGCACCACCACCACCACCACCACCACCACCACCCGGGAGCACCACATTTGGTCCGGTCAAAAATCACCTTAACCATGGTATAAGCAGGGAACAGTAATTTAACTGTTCCCTGGTATAAGCATGGAGGAATTTTAAGTAATTCCTCCATGGTATAAGCTCCTACCTCAACGAAACTCAAACCTTAGGTCCTTTATATATTGGAAAGATCATATCTTGATGTTACGCCGTACAAAAAGTGGGATTTAGGGGAAAAAAGCAAGATTTATAACCAGATTTTAGCCGCTTTTCACCGTCGATTGTTTACCTTGGAAAGTGACGTCGCGAAGCTAAAATAACGATACGCCTTTTGCGTCTCTCTACAAAATTTTTTAGACAAATGATACGTTCGCTAATAATTACCAATATCGCAATGCATTTTGATACAGTATAAATACTTAAATTTTACGATATATTATAGAAAAATAGGAATAAAAACTATAAATACGTGTGAGTTTAATAAATAATAAATGTGGCCTCCTATATAAAATAAACTACGCCCTCAATCGGATCAATATATTTTTACAAGCCAAGCCATGGTACCAAAGCGACGCGGTACAAATGTTTGCATATGAGGTATAAAAATAAGTTTGTACAGTATAACGTCCGGTACAGACTACCGTCATTTATCAAACTTATGGACCTAGCATTTAGCCTACAACTTTAGTTTCCCATTTTTATTTACAAGCTAGATTAAAATCAGCGAAACCTATAAAAAAATTTGTATTGACAAACTACTATAATTGTTCAATCCCTGATTTCCATTTGGCTTGGAGTGTTGGAAGCTATACTTTTTTTTTTATTCATAAATTT